TAGCCTTGGTCTTATTTACATGACCTTAAATTGTGCAGCTGTGGTCCATGCTGCATGACCTTAAACTGCACAGCCATGGTCCGCGCTGCATGACTTTAAATTGCATAGCCATGGTCCAAAATATATGACCTTAAACTGTAGCGGAGGTCTAAATGCATGACCTTAAACTACTTGGTCCTAGCTGTATGACTTTAAACTGCATAACCACGTTCCAAACTATATGACCATAAATCATAGTCTACGTCCTTGCTACATGAAATTAAAAGGATCAGCATCAGGGGTCCAAACTATATGACCTAAAACTGTAGCGAAGGTCTAGTTGCACGACCTAAAACTGCTTGGTCCTAGTTGCATGACTTTAAACTGCATAACCATTGTTCGAGCTATATGACCTTAAATCATAGTGCACGTCCTGGCCGCATGATGTTAAGCTGTTTTGCCCAGGTCCAGGAGGCATGACCTTAAAGATGCCGCCACACATACGTGCACATCCCCTTTATGTGCATTTTCACACATGCTTTCCCTAATCGACCCATTCGTGTGTGTGCCCCACCTTCATTGCTTCTCCAGTGAACCCATTCACTTCACTATCACTATTCATCATTCATTAGTGAGTCTCAACCATGCTCACAAAACGACAAGCCATCTCACCAACATACTCGTTGTTAGCTAGTGGGTCACCATTTTTCACCCACCATTCATACAGCTTCCATCTTTCATGGGTAGCCTCGTACCATCTCCCCAAAGTGAGTCAAATTCACCATTGTAATCACTCCATGGCCTCCACAGACTGCCATTCATCACCACGATGGTCCAGCTGTATGACCCTAAACTATAATGGACGTCCTAGCTGCATTATATTAAAAGGCTTTGCACACATCTCGAAGGCATGACCCTAAACATACCTTCACAAAAAAAAGGGCAAGGTGTACACCTGGACAGGGGAACGACATGAGTAAAAATGACGGACAAGCATGGTCACGAAACCTTCAATAAAAGAGTTCCGTGAAAACAAAAACCCAAGCACTGTGAAAACTCCAAATGGCACCATGAGCAAAAAAACGAATGAAAAGGTGAACATGGCTGCAAGGTCATCGGTAAAAGAGCTCGAAAAATAAAGGAAGTTGGTGAAAACCGTCTTCATGATGCCATTTCTCCTGTTCAAGTGAAGTCCTGCAAAAGGGTGCTTGGACCAACAAAGTAGGTTGATGCAGCATCACAACCTCAACAGACACATATTTGCCAAACAGGCATTATCGTTGCTAACGAGGTCTACCTAAAATCGTCAACTATAAGCATCCAATCACAATATAAAATGGCTCACCTGGGAGTGAGAGCCTCATAATATCTCCCACACTTCAACATAAAAATTAATAAGAGTCCTTGAGGGTGAGGAAGATGTCCAAAAGATCCCTCCAAATTGTTAAAGATCCCTACAATGATAAGAAACTGATGAAGCCAAGCCCTAACCAACCAGAGACTTTAGGGTAATATCTCGTCATGAGATCGCCTCGCCTAAAACCTTCCACAGCCGATAGGCCCAGATTTTTTACTGGACTCGACGGGATGGGGCCCACGAGGCCGCCTCACCAAAATCACCCTAGTCGACAGGCCCAAACTTTTGAGCAGGTCAGAACCCCCGACTAGACCCCACTAGGTGGGACCCACATAGATACCCTGATCATCAAAAGCAAACTTGGTGTAGCAGCGAACAATGCCGACCAAAGGTTCATAACATTTGGCATTCAGAAAGGCCGATTCTGACCAATGAGGTCCTTACAAAATCCTCAACCTGTCAGAATCACAAATAGTCCCTTGAGGGTGAGGACTTCGACAAGATCCCTAGAAATTCGTTTCTCCCCCTAAAGTCTCCACGGATGGACCTATACATTGCATCAAAACATCCGAGTATCCTTTTTGAATGTTATCCCTCTCGTTTCTCTAAAAGAACAACATTAGATAGGGGAAGCTGTTTGAAGACATTTTTCAGCACCTTGGTTCCCTGGTCAATAAAGCCTGACAAAACATTGGAAATTTTGATAGTCTTAGAATAGCCCTAAAACTATCCAAGATCTTCATAAGGACTCTCAAAAGTCTTTTGCCAAATTTTTTCGCATTCTAACATGTCTAAGGCAGTGCAGACTGAGAAACAGTTTAGACAAAATTAGCCTCTTACACCTTGAAACAGACCCTATAACTAAAGCTATATTTTTGGTATCCCAATTTATTATGGGACCACTAGCACTGGATCCGACATGGTTGAAAACCCTCAAGGGTCAAATTTCAACCTGAACCGACATCCCAGGAAGAAGTTATAGGTGAAAGAGTGAAACAGAACAAGCCGCACGCTATTCTCATGCGGCCACCTTGCAACTCAACTCCATTAAAGGGGCAGTCACGACCAGTGAATTTCGACGCATATATCTCCCTTGTCCGAGATTGGATCATGCTTAAACTTGATGAACCGTGTTTATCTCGTCGAGACGAGCGTTTCCATATGTGGCATGCCCCGCTACGATGCCCAAGCGTGAAGAAAAGCAAGAGAGAAGTTGTGATCCGTGAAGAAAGCGCAGGAAAATTAGTAGCATCGTGCCTCACTTGAGTGGCTAAATCACGCCACTCGTGAGCCTGATCGATGCGAAACTAGTTCCATCGCGTGCGTAAGGTCCATGGCCATCACTGGTCCGAACTTCGTGTATGATGAACGGTTGGATTTCACACACAAAGCCAATGAAGTGGCCACAAATTCTGTCGCTAGAATTCCAGATTCTAGCCAAAATTCCAAAGTTACAAAATCTTTGTCAGGGCACAGAATCGAGTTATGTTTGTTGCCCTACGATTGTGACAGCATGCTCAGTGTGATCCAGCTAAGAAATCACAGAAAACATCTAGGAACAAGCACCCAATTGATCCAAAATTTCATGATTCATTCAAATTTCAAGTCACATTATTGTTCCCTAAAAACACAATCTATGGCTTGAAATTGGTATCAAATTGATCGCCATGTCGAGTCTTATAAGAGAACAATCATCTTTCGATCAAATGGGCATCAGAACAACCCTGGATCATCCTTGCAAAATCATGCACGTTTTGGGCAGCACAGGGATTGTTTTGGAATCTACATATTGTTAAGAAGGGGAAAATATGTCATTGTGCACCCTATTTTTTAATTTATTTTAACTCAATTAAATCTTAATTTCCAGTAATTAGGTTTAATTTTGATCATCCACCCATGTTTGGGCACACTTTTATATATATCACTTACCATTGTATGCAAAAAGGCTTGAACCCTTTAGAAAAGAGAGTTTTTACTTAATAAAGTTTCTCTTTCTTCTCATTGTTGGGTCACGTTTAGTGAGAGAGAGAGTAAGGACAGAAACTTTTGGATCTGTGCCCCCTAGGCTCAAGGTAAATTCTCTCTCTCATCTTTTCTCTCTTCTTCTTCTTCTTCATCTGAGCCTCCCTCAAAGGCCATGCTTGGTAGTGGTAGTGTCGTACATGCCTCTTCCTTTCTTTTTTCTCCTTCTTATATTTCCACAAGTCGTGCATGGTGACAGCAGCTCCATACGCGAGCTCATTTTCATCTTCTGTTTGCGCGTCTCCATCTCTCGGTGAGATTGTAGATGGCGCTGCTCATCATCGTCTGTAGGGGTGCCCTCAATGTTTCAACGAGGAATGCGGGTAGAAAAGCTTATTGCTGTCCGCGAGAGCTTCACTCTGCCGCATGACTATCACAGATCACGATGTCCATCGCCATCTGCGAAGGGTCACGACAATACTCATCACCGCCCGAGAGCTTCTGTTTTACGCACGACGCCTATCGTTGTGAGCAGGCTTCTTCCGTTCGCTCGGTGCCCATCATCGCGCTCAGGCTCTTTCCTCGCCTCTCCACATCTATCACCATGCGCAAGCTTCCCTATTGCCCCATGCCTATCGTCGCGTGCTCCACGAGAGGTAATCGCCATGTGACCCATGATAAGTTATCGCCGTGGGCCTCGCCAGAAGCTATCGGCATCCGCAAGAGACCCGTGTTCTTCTTACGTTGCCAATGGCGATGGTTCTTGCCGTCCATGAGTTTCTATCATGTCCCACGTCTAGTGTCGTGTGCCTCACGGGGAGCTATCACCGTGAGCCTCCCGAGAAGCCATCGTCGCTTGCAAGGGACGCGGTGTCTTCTCATGATGCTAACGGAGAGATCCACTGAGGTCTGGAGTCTCCTCCCCCTTTGCCATCTCGCTTTCTCTCTCTTCGTTCCCTTTTCTTCTCTTCTTTCTCTTCTCTTCACACTTGACTGAGGGTAGACTTTGTCAAACACTGCTATATTGAGCTCGGTTTCCAGTAGTATTGCTATCGTGCTGGTCCCGAGTATCATGCCCACCTCGCTACCACTCTGAGTTGGTAACTTTTCAGTTGTCACGTTAGTCTCACCTCTTCATCAAGTTCTCTTCTCTTTTCTATCTTTATTTGAACTTTCCACTTCATCACAATAAACCTCTCACATTCTTAGCCATGCGAATGTGTGCTGCTCTAAGATAAGGGTGGGCCTTTTGGCCCATATGTCTTGCAAATTAACCATAGTAGTGTTGTACGGAAAACAAGGTGATTGTAGGTCAAGGGAGACGATTTTGAACTAGCTAAAACCATCTAGGGGGCTTTCTTCTTGATCTAAGAGGGCGCCCACAGGAGCCAGTCCGAGTAAGTCCCAAACCCACCATAAATTTCTCTCTCATCAGTTGGTATACTTACCTTTTCTCTTGAACAAGGTTCCTAAGAGAGCGATCTCAAGTCCTGGGTTCATTACAAACCCGAGATACGTGCCGCCAGATCATCTAGATCTGAAGGGCGAGATCGAGGTACCAAACCAAATAGGCCTAAAGGGCTGAGATGATGTGAAAAGGGGAAACAACCTTAATTCTCTTAAAATATAGTTCAGGTTGACCCAGGCATCTAAAAGTAACAATCTTATCAAAATAGTTCACTGTAGCATAGTGGGTAGACAATCAATCCATACCCAAAATAATATCAAAGTTTCGAATATCTAAGAGTATCAAATCTATAGGTAACAAATGCCCTTCAATCACAACCCCACACTGTTTATACATTATATCAGTTTCTATTGACTCTCTCATAGGCGTACATACTACCAAAGTCCAAACAAGTTGTACAGGCTTAACATCCAAGTAACATGCAAAGTGCAGTGCAACAAATGAATTGGAAGATCTAGGATCAATTAAAACTTTTGCTTCAATTCCACATATAGAATGCGTACCTCGAATCACAGAGGTTGACGCCCTAGCTTCTTTCTTGGTCAGAGCGAACACCTTCCATTGAGCCCTCGATCGCTCCTCTGATCTCCTGAAGGGACAGTCTTTCACTAGGTGGCCCAATTTGTCACACCGAAAGAAGGTCTTAGTCTTTCTGAAGCATTCAGTCGCTGTATGATTTCCCAAACCACAATGAGGGCAGGCTGGGTATTGGTTGCCCCTCACATCAGTTGGAACAACCCCCTGGATCCTGACACCACCTTGATTGTTTCTCCCCTTCAACTCTCTCTTTGAAGGTGGTCGTGCCTTCTTCTTAAAACTCCCTGACGGGGCGACACCCAACCTTCCATCTCTTCTTACCCGAAAGTCGTCACAATCTCTCTCCATCTTTAGGGCCAGGTCTACCAGCGGGGTGAAGGTCTTGAGGTTTGTTGCGATAATCCTTCTCCCTATATAGAGCCGAAGGCACCTCTCAAATTTACTAGCCTTTCGTGCCTTAGTACTAATAATAAGCGGCGCATATCTGGAGAGTTCAGCAAACTTCGTTACATATTGCTCAACGGACATATTCCCCTATTGTAGCTCTATGAATTCTACTTCTTTTCTTTCCTTTATAGAGTCGAGGAATATTTCTCATAAAATTCTCCCAAGTAGTCACGACTCCTGACCCTTCCCACGACTGTTTTACTGAGCTCCACCAATGCTCTACTTCTCCTTCGAGCATAAAGGTACCCAGCCTAACTTTCTGCTTGCTGGTGCAATTTAAAACTTCAAAGATCTTTTCTATCTGCCTTCTCCATCTCTCAGCCTTTTCTACCCCCCATGCCCTACAAAGTTTGGATGTGCCAACCTCCTAAACCTTTCTATAAAATTACTATCATTCATATAAGAGGCGAGGGTAATCGGGGCCGGCATAACTTCTCGCATCATTTAGGTCATGGCCCCCAAAGTTCTGATGAATTTACTGAAGTCCTCGATGTTCCCATTACTTGAACTCGCGTTGTTGGTACGAGTCCTCGGCATCTCCAACCTAAAACATAAACACTCAGTTACTAACCTATCAAAGAACTGTCCTACAGACACTCTTAAGACTCCCTAGACCAAGAATCCCATCTTGGCTGCTCTGATACCATAACTATCACAACCCTGCCCCTTGACCCCAACCGGAGGGCGACAAAGCACTGGAATTGAGCATCACTCAGATGGGAGTGGCTCAATGCATAATAACACGGAATCAAGACAAATGTCAAATTAAAAGTACAACCATCTCATTCATTCAATATCAAAAGTATTTACAATTCCTTCAAGGCACTACTGGCCATAAATACACAAAATAAAATATACATCATATTGCTGAGACCACCAAAACATACTATGCGGAGGAGACTTTCCAAACTTCTCAACTTCGAGCCTCAAAGCCCAAACCAACCGCCCACATTTAGCATAGAAGCCAACACCCTTCACTCTATAGTTATATAAATAAGATGAAATGAGCTAAAAGCCCAGTATGCAGATCTACACTATTGCATTCCAACTAGCATAACAATGATAACAATATGCAATGCACACACACACACACACACACACACACACACACACACACACACACACACACACACACACACACACACATATATATATATATATATATATATATATATAT